TCTTTTTATGCCATGATGCTCTTACTTCTCTAGCCTTATTGGATGGTATGAGAGAGCTATTTGATGAATTGCACATGGCCTTGATTTTTCATTTGCAATATAATTGTGTTGAGAGGGTCATCTATGAATTTTTGAGTTCGGCCAAGTTTGAGAAGGATGAGACCCACTTTTATGATGATAAACTCTCGTTTCGGTTGATGAACAACGAACACTCTATAACGAGACGTGATTTTGCCGAGCATTTCTGGCTCCGAATTCCACATGAAAGGGAAATCCCGGACAACACTATGGATGCATATAACTTATGGGGCAAAATGACCGGAGAACGGGATTTTAGCACGTCCCAACTATATATTAGTCACGTGCAACATCCCCTTCTCCGGATCTTCCTTAAGTTTATGTGCAACTCCTTGTTTGGCTGACCCAACAACCACCACACTCGAATAGGTGATGTAGCCATACTCACTCTTGCTCTTTTCCGAAATCCCATTGGGTTCAACATTTGCAACTTAATTTGGGATCATTTAGAGAAGGCTACAACGAAAGGGGGGAACATTGTCCTAGGGGAGGGGGGTCATCATGCATTTGGCTTCCAAATTTGGCTATGTAGATCACACACCAATTTCTAAAGATTCATTGATGCATATTGGATGGTTATCCAATGAGGGCTTGATCTCTTTGAGTCATAAAGACCAAAATGGAACCCAACACTATAAATGGCACATGAAGTACCCCGAACCAATCAAATACTTTCCTCTCCCATGTGACGAATTACCTAGACTTAGGTACAAATTGGAGCCTTTCGACATTCCACACTACCTCCTCCCACAGTCCCACTACACCTCCGACCTCAAGTCCACCAAGTCGAGCAACAACACGATCACCAACTGGAGCAAGCCGAGCACCAAGAGGAACATGACCATGCCCAACATCACATCTCTGATCCCCCCTCAAAACCCACTACCGCAAGACTTCTTCCAACAACTCTTGGAGGGCCAACAAGCACTACTTGCTGGGTTCAACACAATGAACCTCAACTACACAAACATGGGTGAACAACTTGCACAAGTCCGAGAGGAGCAACGAGCGGGTTTCCAAAGAATGGAGGAGCTACGACAAGCCGACTTCCACCACTATGAAGAGGACTATCGTATGACTTATGGTCCTATGTACTCATATATGGCTCATAACGGAAATTACTCTTCTATGGACACTCCTCCTCCACCGTACCACCGTCTTGGTATGACCCCTCTCAATGGGGTAACTTTGGAGGTGGTGGGGGCTATGATGGCGGGATGGGAGACGACACCACCATGGGTGAAGGGGGCAATGAAGGAGGCATCAGTGAAGGTTTTGGAGGCGGTTTTTATGGCCGTCCCGGCGGGCACTAGGGATAGTGACATGATTCAAGTGTGGGGGAGGGAAATTCATCTCTTGGTATGTACACTCCCTAAGCATTACTTTCTTGTACTAGTTGTACGCACACAAAAAAAGTAAAAAATATAATAAAAGAAATGAAATGCTAGTTAGGTTGAAAACCCCCAAAAACGGGCAATCTAAGCAAGAAGGGCTTACAAAAATGATGAGTGAGTGGTGAGGAAAGGAAAAGAAAAGAGATGCTAAAGGATGAAAACCTGAAAAGGCTCCTAGGCAAAACGAGAGATATGAGAGAAATTTGTTTTTTAAAGGAAAAGAAGAAGAAAAGAAGAGGAGGAAAAGAAGAAGTAAGGAGCATAGAAGACCCTTAAACCTAAGGAAATGTTGTTCTGTAAACTCATTTACAATACTTGGTGGTCTTAGTTTCTTATTTCTTACTATCTTTTGAACTTATGATCTTTTGATGAACATTGTATAAACATTTGGTTTTACTCGAGGTCGAGTAAAGAAACTAAGTGTGGGGGAGTTGACATTCATGTAATTTCTATGTTTATGTTTGTGTTTTTAATTAGTTTAGATTGATTGTTACTTTGGAAATTACACACTTTTGGTGTAATAGTTTAGTTTGTAAAAATGTTTGTAATTTGTTTAGATTAAGTTTATACCGAGCTCAAACAGGTCCAAGATCACTCTAGGGACCATTGGTGAACATCACAAATGGAAGGAAGGTGCAAAAATCTCAAGACAAATTGAAGATTCTGATTTTTGGTGTTGTACCCGGTCGGGTATGACCTATACCCGATCGGGTAAGTCGCTGAAAAATCAAATTAGATCAACCCGGGAACAAGGCAACATGCAGGGGAGATTTTGGCCACGATCGAGTGTTCATACCCGTTCGGGTGGCCGACATACCCGATCGGGTATGTCCCAGTTTCTTATACTTCCGCGAAGCAACCGAGTACCCGATCGAGTGCTCTTACAGGCCAATCGGGCACACGACCCTGCAAGCCTAAAAAGCCTATAAATACACCTCATTTCCTCCCCATTAATTCACTAATTCACATATACTCTTAAGCTCAGTTTAGAATAGCATTTCTTTATATTTTTCTAGTATGTTTAATCTCCAAATGAGGAGCTAAACTTCCAATTCTTAGTTTTGCTCTTGAAGCTTGTTGATTATTAAAGTTGTGAGTTATTTTCTTAACTTCTTCTCTTGATTATTAATTCTTCCCTTAATGTTGCTAAGTGACGATTAGTTAACGTTCCGACATTAATTACTACTAGAAACGATCAACGAACCGATGGTTAATCATTGATGGTTTCACAAGTAAGTAACTTCGGTTTATTAATGCACGGTTGTGGTTAATAAACTTAAGAGGGATCAATTTTGTTGGTTAAACCAAAACCGTTGTGTTAAGGTTATCAATCTCAGTTGATCTCATCAAGGAGTTAGAAAGATTAAATGCTACTATTAAATCGGTATAAGGCGTTATTCTATATTTGATTAATAGTAAGGGTTATTAATGAATGGTTGTTGTTAATTACTACCCTCGATAAATTGGATATACTCCTCGATTGAGTATTCGAGAGGGGATAAGTAATAGATATAACAATGATCAACTAAACTATATCAACAAGTGGAAAGTAGCAAGGCCAAGTCCCTTTTATTCTTGAATTAAATCTCATATAAGTCATTCATCTTAGTTATTAATTAAATTAAATCATTCAATCCAAATCCTCCCCTTTACTTACTTCTTAAATTAAAAAGAAAATTATTCCTTTCCCTGTGGATACGAACTCTACTTCACCTATACTACTTATAAGTGTTAGTATCGATTTATTTTAACGCACCGTGACAAAGTGCTCGTCATGAACTTATCAACCTCAATAGATTAATCAAAAAATTAAGATATCAAGGGGTGTTTGAAACTAATTTTGTTTCTTTTCTAAAAGTAGAAGTAGAATTAGAATAATTTTTTCAGAAGTTGTTCTCTCCCTATTTCCACAAAACTGCTTCTAAGAGTAATTTGAAGCACCTAGAAGTACTTCTACACTTTCACTCAAACACTTCAATATTTGCTTCTGCTCCCTGAAAGAAGAGAACTAATTTTTAAAAGTAGACCAAACATACCTCTAAATTTGGAATATTATCAAGTCGGTAAATGACAGTAGTGTTCTATTACGTGGTATACTTTTGGGCAGTTTTGGCTAATAGTAATTAGAGTTGTTGTTTTTTGACAAAAAATAGTAAGAGTTGTTAATGAATGATCTCGTTATTCATATACCCTCGATTAATTGGGGATGCTTCGTGATTGACCAATCGAAAATCAATAGTTAAAGATATAATCAAGATCAACAAACATTTCATCATGTGGAAAGTAACAAAAACCAAATCTTTATGTTATTGATTCATAATTTGAATTTTATCAATCTAGAACCTGAAAGATAATAAACTTTCAATCCGGGACCCCGAAGAAGAAATGTGTCGGTATAGGACCCGAATAATCGAAACCTATCAACCTATTCGTATAATTATTATTTTATTTTAAAAAATTTAAATATTGTTTAATTTTACTAGACTAGCTAATAAACTTTTGTTAAGACAAATTCATCAAAACTTAATTAAAGGAACATGTAGTAGAATGGTTTTTATATTTTGTGCTGAAATATTATTACTCCGTATGTCTATAAAAACGAAATGTATGTAGTACAGTTAAAGACTATCGATCGGCACACTTTTAAAGATCATCGGCATTTTCGGCCATTTTGATACGATGCATTATGCTTTCCTTATCCTCAGGAGCCTAGCTATAAAGCTATCTAAGGAATATAATAACTTCAATGTACTAGTATAATTTATTAACCAAGTTCAAAGTAGTTAATACAAGTATAAATTTGTCATATACCGTATATATGAGTTAGATTAGATATAATATATTTATACTACGTATATATAGATATGAACCATTCCATTCATCCAACACACATATTACAAATCAGACACATTTTATATGGCCTTCCCGTTACTACCATTTCATGGAAAATCAAGCGTGTTTGGATGCATATCTCATTATCGTCCAAGATTTCCGGTCCATAATCTGTTCCGTAAGAAGGAAAAACGACCTACTTTGTTAACTGCTAAGGCACGATTGCAGCCTAGTAAACACATAAGTTCCATTGATAGCGATAGTGAGAGTGAGAGCCTTTCGAACTTGTCAAACCTCTCAGACACCAGTAATTATAGCGACTACAATAGCAACGATGACGATGTTGACAGTGACAATGACACTGACACTGATAGCGTATACGAGATGAGCATAGTAAGTTATTTATCCTTAAGAATTAGGTTAGAAGGGTAATAATTATGATAATAACATATGACAAGATTCTGTTTTACAACCAATCATATGTCAGTAAATCAATGGTAGGTAATCATATGAGTGACATAAGTACATCATAGTTGTAATGACCTATTACTTATTGTATATACTCCCTATTCAACTACATTTTCTACCAAAAGAGGTTTAATAATGCTTTCCTGCATTAATAACATCAATTCACTTAATTGTTATATATTTATTTTTTATGAACCTTAATACATGCAAAATTAAACATTATATGTGAAGGTAAACAAGAGAACAAGGGAATTAGAACAGAAAATGAGGAATATGAAGACACCAGAACCCAACAAGGGGCCTATCTATATAGTTCATGCTCCTGGTGAACGGCTTTCGCTAGCAGCAACACCATCTAATCCATGGTTCTTCCGCACCACGGGACCTCGGGTCAACTCCACCAGCCTACGCGATGTTGGCAGTGATAGTCACGAAGCTGTTGCGGTTGATCTTATTAACAAGGTGAGTGTTGCAACCCAAGCTTTTATATATTAGGGTTTTACTCTATACTACTTATAATGTAGACTAAATACTTCCCTATGACCCTATCATTTCACAAACTAGTAGTACAAAGTAATTCCCTCTGTCCCATTTTACCTTCTTATTTTCTTTTTTGGATTGTCCCAAAATAAGTGTCACATTTTCTGTTTTGGATATAAATATGTAGTCTACAACATCATTTTATTATACTCAAATTTCAACTACAATCTTTAATTTTCAACAAATTTATTAATAATTGTGGCAAGTCAAAGTAAGACACATAAAATGGGACATATGTAGTACTAGTATGTTATAAGCAAAGTAACTCTATACATAGGAAACAAAATATATATTTTGATGGATAATTGATACCCATATTGTATAAATTAGGAGAGATTGAACAAAAAGGGAAAAGGAGATGAGTAGTGTATTATGAGTGAGTTTGTGAGTTGTGACTTAGGTTTACAAGCCTCCTATAAGGAGTATATATAGGGAAATCTGGGTCTGAGTCTCTAATATGGGCCCAACAGACCCGGTTACATAAATGAATATGTAAACTATACAGTAATATAAATGTTGTCTGCTGGTGTACGTGAATCGTTGTCCAGGCCCAATAGTCGACAGGTCGGGGGGTCGAGGTCCATATACTCCATCAGGAGTCCCCCACTCCCTGAGCCGAGAGTACTCGAGGTGAAAGGGAGTAGTCCACAATTGTATCTGTAACATTCTTCTGTCTTTGGTTTCTTCCTCTTCGGACGGGGGACCACCACCCTTGTCCATGTTGGGGAGGTACCTCGTTAAAAACCTTTACTAGGAAAAAACGCAGTGAGAAAAAATCCTAATAAAGGGAAATAGACTACACCTAGCGCCCCCAACATGAAACAAGGAAGATAAGTTCCCTCCGGCATAATCAATTTTGTCTAGCTCAACTCCTCTTCATCTGACTCAGCTTTCGTTCCTGCTCATGCGTATTATTTTCTGCTCATCTAGAAACTCTGACTCCTCAGTCCACTAGTCCCCCACTCCTTGAGGCGAGTGGAGACGAGGTGAAAATGAGTAAAGTCATCTTCGTACCTACGCATTTAACATACATATAAATTTTTTCTTGGGGTTTATGTTTCCGATTGGGAGTTTGTCACTTGAAAAAAGTGGAAATGTGAATTGCTAATGTAATGATAAAATACTTAGTAGAGTGGATGTGTGATCCATTCATAAGCAACGGTCACCACTCGAGGAATGACTAAGACCGGTCTTGGTGCCTGACTTGGTCAGGGCTTTGTGTCTGAGCTGGGTCAGGGCTTTGTGCCTGATCTGGGTCACGACTTTAAATCCCAGTGATGGGTCTCAAGTCACAGTCTACTAGGCATTTGATCATAATTGTGTGATAGTTTGACATTCGCCCGACAAAAAGAAATGATTTAAATAAATATAAATAATATGAAAATTAAATTGTGTGATACTTATCTTTTGATGGGCTGAAATATATTGGACCGACTGAAAAGAATAATATCCAGCTAATCCCTTTGGGCTCATACTAATTTGTGAAAAATCGACAGCCATGTTGCTGATTAGTGCTGCCTAGAATTATTTAGTTGGATCACATGTGGCGTGGCGCACTGCTGCCCTGTCTTGGCCCAAGTTTCCTAGCAGAATTTGATAGCTAATAGTCCGCGCTAGGAGGCCCTTCTTCAAATGTGTGGCCTGCACTCATTTCCCGTAGCTAGCGTTAGGTCTAGAGGAGAAAATGGAGTAGTTCTTCGATACGGTTACCATGCCGCCAGAAATGGAGAGCATCTTGTTGTTAGCTCGGAATATTTCGTCCAGAGGCTACTAGACTTTTCTACTGGCTATGGCTAGAAAACCCGGCAGACCCGAACGGTGGATGGTACAGTGATGGGGGTGGAGCTCGTCTTGGGCATCTTTGACCTGCGGGTTCTTGAGTCGTGTCGATCGCAGTAGTTCCAGTCCTCAACAGCAATGGGCCACACTCTCTTCACGGTTGCCTGTGGCTCGAAAACAGAGCTTCCCAACGTCCATTAATGGCGGATTTCTGAAGGTCTAGCTTCAGAAGCTGAAAACGATGACTATGGAAATGGTGACTGGGGTTCAGGCTCCGATATTCGTGCTATGACGGAGAGTAGTGCAGTGCAGTGGTGCAGCAGCTCGTAGCGATGCTGACAGGGTTGTCACGGAGGAGCTCTTACCTAGTGCCATGAGCTGCAGTGGACGGAGTGAGGCTGCCTCAGCTCAGACCTAGGAACGACTGGTGAGCTTTAGCCGGCGACAAGCTTCTGCTATCGGCGTATGGCGGCGACCAGGAGGGCGATGACCTTTCAGGCGAAGAAATCTCCGGCTTTTGTGTCGGAAATCCCAGATGCAAATTTCCAGATCTTATCAGTTGCTTTTTCTCATTTTTTTCTTTTCAGACTGACTTCTTGTGATTTGGGTGAATTTTTGGTTGTTTTTGGGAGGTTTTCTCACTTGATTGTGTTCAAACACCTGTCAACAAGAGCACCATTTGATGGATAATTGATACTCATATTGTATAAATTATGAGAGATTGAACAAAAAGGGAGAAGGATATATATATATATATATATATATATATATATATATATATATATATATATATATATATATATATATATACATGGACCAAACAGACTCGGTTACATAAATGAACTAATAGTGTAAAAAGCTAATCTAGTACATACAATGAATATGTAAACTATACAGTAATATAAATGTTGTCTGTTGGTGTACGTGAATTGTTGTCCAGGCCCAATAGTCGACAGGCCAGGAGATCGGGGTCAATATACTCCATATTTCTTTCATGTCATGTGGGCAACATAACTTTATTCTCTACTTCATATCATAATGATTAAGGATGAATGATTTAATTAACTCTACAGGTACTAGTTATTTAATCAGGATATGAGTAATAGATATTTCGCCAATTAATTAAGTTTCCTCCTTTCTTTAATTAATTTGTCTTCAGAAGAATGGGAATTTGAGAAAAGCATTTGGAGGAAAAATGACAACGAAGATCCAATCCCGAAGCTAGATCAAGACGAGCTTGGAAGACGATCGGAAGAGGATGAAGTGAAATCTTGGGTCTTCTTTGTGTACTGAAAGCTGAAAGAAAAAATAATACAACTATGTTCTAATAATGTTGAAATGCTAGCAAAATAAATATTGAAATAAAAGCCGTATATGCTCCGTATATACGACTGTTGGACTGAATAAGGAGTGTGCGAATGACGAATAATAAGACTATTTAGACTACATATACATGAATGGGAAATTAAATAAAACTGGACTTACACAGTTACATGTTCATATACTTCCTCCGTCCCTTTTTAATTGCAACGGTCTACTTTTCACGTTTACCAACGCACAAGTTTGACCATTAATATCTTTCATTCTTTATTAGTAAAAGATATAAAAAATTCATATTTTGAAAATTTAAAATGAGGGTAATTTAATTTTTTTAAAAATTTAATTTATAATTCATCAATAAATAAAATATAATCAACGTAGAATATGTGAATAGTACAAAAAATTCAATGTTGTTAATAAAAGAGAATGGATGTAGTATATAGAAATTTTACATATAGATATTTACCGGAGTAATGCATTCATATGGGTAGGGCCGTAGGGGGCTTGCCCCCGCCCCCTTACATTTATCTTCATTATTATCACAACCACCACCGGCCACCACGTATCATCACCACGACTGTCTCCTCCTCTTCTTCAATTTTCCTTCTCCACCTCCTCGTAGCTCCTCCGTCTTCCTCATCCTCCTCTTCCTCTTTTCCTCCTCCCCCACATCACCATCATCGTCATTACGAAACACAGTGCCTATTATTATATCTTTGAAGAGAAACAAAGCTATACATGGATGTAAATATAATCATAGTATGTGCTAAACACACAAGGTCGACCATCATGAATCATATAATGTCTTGAATATTTCTTGCAAAAGCGTTTAAAAAAGGTTACCAAAGGTAAAAAAATGAAAAAAAGAAGAAACGATAAGAAGAGATAGAAGAAACATGATTTCACGTTGAATATCTCTGGTCAAACTGTTTTTGGCACGGATTTTTTACATATTCCTGTCAAAATCTCTATCCATTTTGGAAATTCCCTGTCAAAAATTCGTGTAGGTGAATGAACTCACTAAAAGAGAGGATCAATATTGACGAATGTGCTTCTTGGATGGTTTTCGTGTTTCAAAGCCTGAGATCACTTGTGTGCATAACCTTTGTTGTGTAAAATTCATTCTGTCATTCGATGCATAGTAAAGATGGTTGTGTTTTTATAATAAGTACGATTTAGATGTTTAAGTAAACTAAATTTATTAATACATCGTATTTAATTTCGTGGCTGCATGAATTATAATTTGGGGGTGTCAATAGAATTAACCTAAAGCATAAGAGTAAATGAGTAATCTTGGCCGATCCTTCACTAGCTAATTCATGTCTCAGGCCTTGTAAGACCTACTCTTATTTTGAACGGACCGTCACTATCTCATCCGGCATATGGCCCATTACCGGGAAGGAGAGTCAAATCGGTATCTTAACTATTGATATTGTTACGTTTTGATATCTTAACTCTTAAATGAATCAAATCTATACAGTAATTATACATAAATGTTTCAACTTGAGATTTTATTAAAAATTGCGGCCAAAAAATCCTTCATTGCGATCAGGATTCCATATGTAGAGTCACCATATAGTGATTATATGGACAAAAATAAGGTGAAGTAGATTTTACGCATAGAATATCGGCCGCCACATATGATTTTTTGGCCGCAAATTTGAATAAAATCTTAGATTGAAACATTTATGTATACTTAATGTACTGTTTTGATTCATTTAAGAGTTAAGGTACCAAAATGCAACATTATCAATAGTTAAGGTACCATTTATACATTTCACCCCCCATTACCCCAACACTGTGTTAATGTAAAAATTTATTAAAATTTTAAATAAATCGAAAACATATGAAAAGATAGAGGACTACTTTTCTTATTAGTCCCTTAATTAGCTTACTTATCATTATGATATTTGACTACTTCTCTTAAAGAGTTTTTGTCACTTTTAGTCTTACGACTGTTATGTTATTGACACTTTTGGTACTTGACTTTGATTTTTTTGACTTTTAGTCCTTGACTATCTTGCTAGAGACACTTTTGGTACATGTCTTTGAAAATTTCCATATTTAGTCCTCTGACTTTCATAAAATTGACACGTTTGGTCCTTCAAATATTATAATAATAGCTTTTTTAGTCCTCCATTTATTGTATCAAAATCACAGTGGAAGGACTAAAAGTGTCAATTTGATAATACTCAGAGGACTAAATGTGAAAAACTTTGAAGTCAAGGACTAAAAACATGGGCGGACCGTAGTAGAGACCCAGGGGGGCTACCGGCCCCCCAACAAATTTTTTTTAGTGTATATATATACGAAAAATAATTTTTGCTCTTCCAAAAAGTATTTTGAACCCCCCAAAAATATTTCCGCCCCCCCAAAATGACTTTCCTGGGTCCGCCCCTGACTAAAAATATCTCTAACACAATAGTCAAGGATTAGAATTGGAAAAATTAAAAATCATAAATGTGTCAATGACACAATAGTGAAGGACAAAATATGGAAAAAAACTCTTCTCTTAATTAACAAAGGAAATGCATTAAAATCACTCCCACCGTTCAGTTCTCTATCCCCGAGTAGTTATCCACGCATGTAACTTACCGAGAGGGTCTTCTTAACTACACTTTTCCAACATTCTTTAAGAAAGAAAATTCTAAACGAATTGGAGGTTGACTAGCTAATTTTACTTGAAAAAGTGGTAAAAAAATTGGATGCAACTCGATTGAATTAGTATACGGAGAACCATGACTCTCGAACTTTCATAAAAAGTGAAAATAAGCCCTTTTATAGGAGACTCTGTCCGACCGTCACCATTTGGGGCTGTTTTCGGTGGAATTTTTTAATGAAATTTTTTGAGCATCTTCTTCATTAAGTCTAGTTTACCCATATCAAATTTCAGCTAAAAATTAAATCAAGGAGGCAGTCAAATGAACTTCTGAAATATACTGAGCTGTCTAACTGCGCAATTATCTTCAAAAATTCATTTTAATGTCTTCCCGATTGAATTTTTAGCTAAAATTTGGTATGAATAAACTAGACTTAATGAAGAAGATTCTCAAAAAATATCATCAAAAAATTACACCAGAAACCGCCCCAAATGGTGACGTCCGGACAGAACCTCCTATAAAAAGGCTTATTTGCACGTTTTATGAAGTTCTAGAGTTTATTTGATAGTTCTCCCAATTAGTATATCAATTAACCAAGTGAAACAGCACTCTAACTTCCCTTGTAAAACAAATATTTACGAGAAAAGTATTCCTAATAGGTACAAAATTATAAGACTAATTAACAAAAAGAAGCAGAAAGACTAACTAGTTTGCTCACAAAAAATAGTTAGCAGACTATAACTTATCAATGGAAACTAAACAAGAAGACAATAAAATGCGTAAAATAATTAGACTCCTAATTTGTTGGTGGGTTGATTGAGCTCCTCAATAGATCTTGAGAATTTTGAAGGGTTTGGATGAACTTTTCTGGAACCAAACACTTATCCTTTGAATACAATTTCTCTTGAATCAACGAAGACCCGACAAGTGTCTCTAATTCTTCATTCATAAATGTCTCCCCATTTTCCTGCAACATTAATGTACAAATATACAATGATTTATTTGCACTAATTATAAAACCTAGCTAAACCTCAATATATATTGTCAAACAATTTAATTAATTAATCACTCAACGCATAAAAGCTACGAACTGTTAATCATTCTCAAAATGAATACTACCCAGTACTCCGTATTTAATTATTTTTTCAGTTATATATGGACTTGTGGATTAATAATTTAATAGTATATACTCCGTAATACATATGTACTCCCTGCAATAACCGAGATTCGGAGTATAATTAAATCAGAGACAAATGTAAAACTACGTAATTATTACATTTCTTTGTAATAATCGAACAATAATTCAACTTTTCCTTTCAAGAAAAATATACGGAGTACTCTAGTAACTGTCAAGTTTCAAGCAAGGAGTTCTAATATATAGGAGTATATAATGAAAATGTAAATATGAACTGAAAATTAAATGTTTATTTAAACATTAAATGTGGTTAATGATGAGTAAACAAGTATGATAACATAGTGTATCTTCAGTAAATATTCCGTATATTTGTAATAAATGAATTAAATTACCTGAGATGGCGAGAGGCAAGACTGAAGTACTAAAACTTGGGTTTGCATGAACTTGATGTAGTTATAGGCAGCCTGAAACATCTCGGCGGTGTTCATTTTCTGGCCGCCGGGAATCAGCTTTGCCAGTTCCTGCGTCTTCTCCGTGATCCTCCTCCGCCTCTCCCTAGCGGCGATGCTCTGCGGCGACAGCGTCTTCCCTCCTCCGCTCTTCTTTCCCGCCATCCAACTCTCCGCCTCCGAGCAGTAACCCGTAAGCTGCGCACATGGGAGCTCCGGCAACGGCGGAGGTGGAGGCTTGAACTCGTGCAGCCGAGGCGGGTTCGGAATGAAGACGCCGAAACAGCTCTGGGTAATGTCTTCTTCCTCACTGTGGAAGAGCTTCTGGCGCTTCGGCGGGGGCTCCCGGAATTCAAGCTCTTTCTGAAACAAGAAGTCAGGGGGTATGGAAAAGTAGTCGCCGGAGAAAACGGGGTAGTCGGAGTTGAAAAGAGGGTCCACCGGAGTTTTTTCAGGAAGAACAAAATCATGGTTGTTGAAGCCGCCAAAGAAAAGCTCAGACGCCGGAGTTTCAAGAAGGTGATGACTATCGACTGGCTGCGGCGGCGGCGGCGGTTCGGGGAAGAAAAGCGGCGAAGGGTGGTCGTCCAAGGTTTGGGTAAAGTTAAGGAAGTTGTCGTGAGTGGTTTCCCAGGTAGGATAGTAACAAGTTAAGCAAGAACTAGCCGCCATTTCTGTAAGAAGCAAGTCAAATGAAAGAAAGAAGAGAGAAACGAGAAAGAGACAGATAAAAGGAAGGGAAACAACGTGCGCAAGAGCAGTGGGAAGTTAAGGAGAGAAAATAGGATATCATAGGGATGAGAATTTTTTGTGAGTAACTAACTCCAATTATGATGGGATTATTTCGGAATTATCGAAAGAGGATTTGGGGCTTATTTTTATTGCAGTCCTTAATTTTCCAGTAATTAGTATGAGTAGCTTCGGTTTATCCTAA